AGAGGTCGCAGCGCCTTGGTGCAGAGAACGTCGAGGACGGTGCAGAGCGCAAGTCCGTGGCCCGCAAGCATCGACGACGGCGAGAGCGTCGCGGCAGCGTCGCACCCGAGGGTGCCTGCAGCGATGAGCACTGCGGTCGCTTGTCGCAGCGGCGGTTCTAACGGGTCGTCGAGCGCCACGTCCAGTGGCATCTCGAGCTTCGCAAAGAGCCACTGCAATAGCCGCAGGGCATGCGTCCACTAAGTCTCGCTGTATCAGTCACAAACTAGTATCCAGTTGATAGTGTACCTGTTGCGGGGGACGACTGGCTTGCGCAAAGTAGATGCGTGTAAGGGGCACTTGGAGACTTTGCAGCTATGTCTTTTGTCGTTGTCGATGTAAGGAGAATGCGTACGTACGTTGCATCGCAGCAGCATGAGCTTCTCGTACACGGCGTCCATGAGGTACATGGTCATGGCCGTCTCGTCCTACAGCATATGTCCTCTGTGATCATGCCATGCGTACGGGACGCTACTACTGTGCGCGGGCTACTCTCGGGGGTCGTTTCGGCCGACGTGTTGTTGTTGGGTGTCGACTGCCGGCTTAGTGAACTCGACGCCGGTTCTTTTTGGTTGTCGACGCTCGCGGGGCGCGGGTGGACCTTGGGCGCCGCGCGGGACTCGTGACACGCGCTGCTCACGGCGCAGATCGCGGCCATTGTCGGGCGGTCGTTGGCGTTCAATGACAGCATCTGCGTCACGAGGGACCGGAGTGCGTCGCTGTAGATATCCGAGACAGGGTCGTACTCGCCCTTGTTGACCTACGCACGTCGCGGCGATCGACCGTTGCTTGTGTACTCAAAAAGGCTACCTTTTGAAAAAGACCGTAGAGGTTGAGTCCCTCGGATTTGAATGGCGACCGAAGCATGGCGAGTTCGTACAAGATGCAGCCGAGCGACCAGACGTCGCACTTCCAGTCGTAGCCGTCGCCACGCAGCACCTCGGGCGACATGTACAGCGGCGTGCCCACCTTGGAGTGGGCCTCCATCGTGTTCTCACTCAAGTGGCGGCCAAGCCTACGCACCATCGACAGTACAGAGGGATGTAGCAACGGCGCGTGAACCCGAGATCGCCGACTTTAACCTGGCCCGACGACATGAGAAAGATGTTGGCGGGCTTGATATCCCGGTGCATGATGCGGTGTGTGTGCATGTGGTCGATTGCGGCCGCGATTTGTGCAAAGTACTTCCACACGAGTCGCTCGTCTAAGCGCGTGTCCTTCTCGTTCGCCTTGCGAATCTATTCGGACGATGGTCTGTCAACCGCTATTCTAACGAGTCAAGTGGATGACCTGTCGCTTGAGGTCGCCCGCTTCGGCCCACTCGAAGGCGATGCAGAGCTCGTTCCCAGCGATGAACGCATCGAGATACTGGATGATGTTGGGATGGTGCACCGACTGCACGAGCCGGACCTAGACAGCGCAGTGGTATGCCGTTGCTGTACACGTAGAGCCAGTACGACCTCCTTGAGCGTCTTCTCGCGCGCGCGTTTGTCCATGACGTCGATCGCAATCTTCTTGAGCGCGACGAGCACGTCGTCGGCCATGCGCTTGGCGCGGTAGACGACCGAGAACTTGCCCTTCCCGATGGGCTTGAGGATCGCGTAGTCGGCGAGCGCGCCACCGGACGCGAAGAGCGCGACCTGCGCATCGCTAAGCGCCTCCATGCAACCCGATCTTTCCCGATCCGCTGCGACGCTTTGCACAGTCCGGATAACTGCAACCCAATGTTTGTCGTCGAACCAGCGTGGGCTTGAGCGAGCAACAAGGTACGTGCCTCGCGTCCTTTTCTAGCCCTGTATACATTGAGCGGACTAGACGTGACGGTCGTACGCATGCGATCGTGGCGACGATGGTCGATCGCGTGCTTTGGCGTGGTTGGGCGACTATTTGTGGCAACATGTGGCGTTTTGTGATTATATATGGTATGCGCCACAATTAATGGCCGAGTCGATAGCTCGCGCTCCACAGCTCCAACGCCGACGGGACGTAGCATTTTGAGCTCTCCAGAGTATCGTCTATCAACAAGCCGAGTTGGAGCGAGTTCATGAGAAACGTTGGTTTGGCGTCCGAGCGGCCCATCGAGCGCGTTGGCTCGCATCGCACGACCCGGGATTGGCCAAAATGACACGATATTTGGCCAGTCAAATCATTTCACCAAATGCTTTTTATTGCATAGCGTTGTCAAGTAATATCGCTTTAATAATATTGGAAGGCTGGGAAAGCCGCCAGCGACATGGGTCAAGCCAGCGAGCACTTGCGCACGCTTCGTCGTCGGCACACAGTACGCGGTGCGGACCGCCGATGATGCTACCTCGTCCGGCGCTGTATCATTCAAGCGTACATGCAAAGACAAATGACAATTTTACTAAAATGACTTTCGTTGTACCAGTAGTGTGATGGGTTAGAGTTGATTGAGTGGTGCAAACGTCATGCGGTGAATCGGGGTCGCGCCGTGCTTGTGAATTGCGAGCATGTGTGCTCTATCCATACATGAGTGCCGTCTATCTTCTAGTTGCGTTTCGTACTTGGTGCCATAGCCCTTGTGCTGGCCGAGACCATACTCGGGGTACTCCTTGTCGTAGGCGACCATAAGGCGGTCTCGCGTGACCTAGCAATTGTCAACGGCGGCTGCCGTAGATTGACGAGTCTACCTTGGCAATGACGGAGGCAGCTGCGATCGAGTAGACGCGCCCATCCCCTTTGACGACGGTCTCGCCGTCGACGTCGAGCGTCGGCATGCGGTTGCCGTCGATGAGCGCATAGTCGACCGGCATCGGGAGGTCCTCGACGCTCTTGCGCATGGACTCGAGCGTCGCCTAGAATGGTGTTGTCGCTATCGCATTGGGTCTGTTTACCTGGAGAATGTTGATGTCGTCGATGCGCGCCGGTGGATTGATCTGCTTGCAAATCACGAGGTGCTCTTTAGCAGGAAGGCAACGTACGTGGACTGCGTATTTGATAGCAGGGTTGGACGTGATTTGGGCAAAGAGCCATTCTCGCTGCTTCTCATCGAGCTTCTTGCTGTCGTGGATACCTTCGATGACAACATCCAATGGGACATAACAGGCCGCCGCGACCACGGGGCCAGCAAGCGGACCACGCCCCGCTTCGTCCACACCCACGACGCACTTGAAGCCCTTGGCATACAGTCGCGTCTCAAAGTCTTTGCTGAGCGTGCCATGCTTGAACGT